TCCCACTTGTGACGAATGCTGCTATCGATTTTTTTTTGCATGCTAGCATGCATTCGTGTCAGTCAGCTGTTGGCTTCACAATAGAATCTTTCCTGCCTATTCGTGGCAGCCAGCTATTGGCTCTCATATATATATAGCTGAAAATGACCGCAGACTACATGAAAACTGTCGTAGAAGCATGAAAAAAATGGATTATTTCCACTATCGATGGTATTTGGGAAATGCAAAGTCGATCTTGTTCTTCCCGCTAACTTGGAGCATGTGCATGTAAATTTTGGTGCAAATCCGTCGAAAAATGCGGCCGTGCATTCGTTACACACACACACACATCCTGCCTTATAGATAGAGATGCTGAGTGCGACGATGATCTTTATAACCGATTATAACCGATAATATTGACATGCATTAAAAATATACACACACATACACACATACACACACATATATATATATATATATATATATAATTAATACAAATATAAAATTTATCACTTACCTGATTGATGTTTCTTCTTTCAGCATATACAGGGTGTATCAAAAATACATTTACAAACTTTGGAGGCGGCTTCTTCAGACCAAAACAAGGACAAAAGTCCATATAAAAACATGTCCGTAAATACCTCGTTTTTGAGTTATTAATTTTAAAGAATGTTTACCGTAAATGGCGCTGTGTTGCCATGTAGACTAGGTTACATTTGTCATTCATATACATTTTTGGCTAGTTTGCCTTCAACGTTTAAGTGTTCCGCTTAACAATGGCAAAAAATTCATACCGTAAGCAGGCAGATACAATTTTTACATACGGCCGCGCGAATGATATTGGACACGACTGTATTAAATTGCGTTTCCCGACCGAAAGAACCCGGGTCATACAACCTTCGCTGGTGTTTATCATCGCGTTGCTGAGACAGGATCCGTGGCACCACAAACTATGAGTCGAGGCAAACAGAGACCCGCTTGTATGCTTGACTACGAAGAATACATTCTACGTGAACTTTTGGGCATATGTCTATATGAAGACGTATGCAGATATGATGTACGTGAGAAAATCATGGAGAATTGTAGTTTAAAAACAGTAAAATCGACCTTGCTAACCGAAACGCTCCTCTGTGGCGAAATCGGTAAAGCACGTCAGGCTATATGATGGTTCGATTCCTATTGGAGGACGCATAATTTCTATGACAACTTCTTGGACATTCAGGCCGGTAAATGTTATTAATACTGTTTATTATAAACAGAGCATTTAAACAAGAAGTTTAAATAAAAGATTATATGAACACAAAAGAGACATTCTAAAAGAGATCACATTAAACACGTCAGTTGCTCACCGTAACGAGACTGAACACAATTTTGACATAAAAAATACTATTCTAATTAAATAGTGAAATCAATTCATGTTTATGGTGTGGTTTAACGTTTCCTTCCTTTCACGACCTTAATGATTTAACTATATTAATGTTTTCGTGAACTGACTGATCAGTGGCTGCGTATTTTAATTTTGCATGTACCGAGTTGGCATGTTTCTGTGTCCCGACTGATAGTAAAGAGACGAAATGTTTTGGTAACGCCTTAGAAAGGCTGCACTGATCAATAGTCGCGTCATATTCGGGTATTTGAAGTGCCCTGTTAGGCATGAATAAACGTTTCTTCACGTGCTTCCGATTGGCAATCCTGTGGCTACATTAGGCTTTGGGTTTAGCCACCCTCCGGTTGGTTTATATTACCAGAGACGATGGACAGTGATAATTATTTGGGCTTTTTTCTCATTAAAAGTGAAAACTATTTTCTCATGACAGTTACGTATACTTTAAATAATATTTAAATTCTCAGGAGATATTTTTCACCTGTGACGGCAAACATTTGAATTAAAAAAATAACCTGTTCACGTGACCATCGAATACGTTCAAAAATTAAAAGTAACTAATGCATTGTATCTAAAATAGACGTACAAAGTCACCTCATAATTTTAATTATCGATAAAGACTGAAGTCGAAATACATAATAAACAGACATGAAGTGTGGACAGTCCCTTCATAATTTCAACCTCCGACATTGTGAAATGTGTTTGGGATTTCAATAAACTACAACGTGTTGAGAAGTTGTAAAAAGAAATCAATCAATTATAATTTAAATTTGTCACTTGGAAAAAATATTTTGAAATATAATAATCATCCTTCGTGTATTTTATTTAACGAACATGGTTGAACGAATATTTGCAGCTCGAATATATGTTGTATTAAAGAAAAACTGAAACCACCAGTGGAACCAACAGACAACTTGCCAAAACATGAAACTCTTATCCAGATAAAACTTCGAAAAAAAAACAACAATAATGAAAAAAGAAAGAAAAAAAAAGCCTAAGGCAAACTTGCCTAGATTGCTTAGACCGAGTCCCCACCAAAACAGAACAACGTTAAATCCTATGAAAAGATGGCTCTAGTCCTAACCAGAGTTTCATGCTCACCCATCTTCAGACGACTTAAAGCCGCTCAAGTAATCTGAAGATCACTTCAGCATGCAATATATACGCCCTTGTTCAAATTAATTGAAACAAGCCTTTAGTTTTTCATTCAACATACGGTCAGTTTTAGACCCACTGGAGTGACAGGGTGTAATCAATTTCAATTTTTCCTCAGATTAGGTAATTTGCAGTGGTGTGCAGTAATATGAATCTATTTTCGATGTGTATGATGAAATTTGTGATCGCATCCGTGATCGCATCTGATTTTTAAGAAGCCCAGACACTATTGTCGCGACTGTCGATTACTTGTCCTACGGCCATTGCCTGCGATGGACGTTAAACCAAGGAAGCGTACGAAAATTTTAACACTGCACGAACAGAAGCCTTACCAGTGTGCAAACCAAAGTACTATAGACAGACCCGGAAACTCTCCTGATTTAAATCCAATCGAGAATCTGTGGTCAATCTGCAAGGAAGGACTTCGTGGAATGGACATCCGAAATACTAATATGTTCACTGGGTTAAGTTTCATTGGAAAAATACGAAAAAAGTAAATAACGCAATTATTCGTTTTGTTACAATTAATTTGCACAAGTGTGTGTGTGTGTGTTACTGTGCTTTGTTTACTGTAACGAAAACTTAGTGAGTACGGAACTCGCCAGAAACAACGAAGGAACGCCACACATATTTCTGGCGTATTGCAAAAACTATTACAGAAATGTTATATCAGTTTAGGAAAAGTTTTATAAAAAATCATACTTGATATTAAAAGCTCAACTAAATATTTCGGATCTTGCTAAATCTAATGAGGTGGGCGTTTATTGAAGAACACTGATTATATCTTCTTAGCAGGTATTTATCCACTGACCGTTAATCGGGCAACATAATGATTAATACTTAATGCCATTGTGAATTATTTGAAAAGGTGGTGTTCATATTTGCAAGCAATCAGTAAAATCCAAATATATTGTTATCTTTTCATTTACCGCCTTTAACAGAATGCTATACCGCCTCTTCCTTCAGCTAGTCACTCTTTCACTCAACCCCAATCTGCCCAAAGCACGTTTATCCACATATAAGTGGCCAACGATAACGTCGATATCAATCCTTATCTGCAAGGTTGGCAGGTCGAAACTTTGCGCCGTCCCCTGAAGAATAGAACAGTTCGACCGATGGCGGACACACATCAAAAGATTTCATGTCCAGAGTGATCAAGTAATCGATTGCCACCGACATCTGGAAGAGAACCTTATCGTTTCTTGTTGCCCTTTTAAAAGAAAGTTGTCTTGACCGATTCCTCTCACGGTAGAAAGTTGAAGAGAAATAACTTTTAACTTTACAAGCCAACCGCTCGGATCAGATCTTTCATTTGTTAACAGGTCGCTAAGAGCTTCACTGTAAGTACAACATGGCGGAAGTTGATTGTTATCGCCGCAAGACTAACGGAACTTAATGGTTGAAGTTTAAAAGATCTCCGTCTCAGAAGTTCCATTCTCTTCACAATAGCAAATGGCGAGAATCATAATCTTCTTATTCATCATTAAACAATATGAGAACTTCCTATTTTACAAGCACAGTTAAATTTCAATTACTGACACGAACTCTGTCCACACCGGGGTTGATAAGACCGATATCTTCGTCTACCCAAATAGGCTATTTTCCATATGAGGTGATTTTTGGATTTTATTGTTTATTAATAATTTGCTTATTTGCTCCGTAATAATAAATACATTGAGCTCTTTTTGTGGATCAGTTCTAATTTTTATATTACTAGGATTCACCTGGATTATATCAACCTATTTGTTACCTTTGTATATATATATATATATATATATATATATATATATATATATATATATATATATATATATAACAAGAATAGTTTCAGGCAGGGAAGTCGGTAACAGTGAGGTAATAGTCAGGGACAAAATAACAACTACTAGCGTCCGAAAAAGAAGAAGTAAAAGATATAAAAAGCAGGGAAATTATTGCCAGAAAAGACTATTGAAGGTTTGGTTTGGTTTGTTTTACGACATATCAATCGCAATGGGTTATTTAATGCCGACAAGATTTTTATTGCTGCTAATATTTTTGTTTATCTATCAATCTATTTATGTATCTATTGGTTTGGTTTGTTTTGTTTTACGGCATATCAACGACAATGGGTTATTTAATACCGACAACATTTTTATTGCTGGTAATATGTTTTTATCTATCTATCTATCTATCTATCTATCTATTGGTTTGGTTTGGTTTGTTTTACGACATATCAATCGCAATGGGTTATTTAATGCCGACAAGATTTTTATTGCTGCTAATATTTTTGTTTATCTATCAATCTATCTATCTATCTATTGGTTTGGTTTGGTTTGTTTTACGGCATATCAACGACAATGGGTTATTTAATACCGACAACATTTTTATTGCTGGTAATATGTTTTTATCTATCTATCTATCTATTGGTTTGGTTTGGTTTGTTTTACGACATATCAACGACAATGGGTTATTTAATACCGACAATATTTTTATTGCTGGTAATATGTTTTTATCTATCTATCTATCTATCTATCTATCTATTGGTTTGGTTTGGTTTGTTTTACGACATATCAACCACAACGGGTTATTTAATACCGACAAGATTTTTATTGCTGCTAATATTTTTTTATTTATCTATCTATCTATTGGTTTGGTTTGGTTTGTTTTACGACATATCAATCGCAATGGGTTATTTAATGCCGACAAGATTTTTATTGCTGCTAATATTTTTGTTTATCTATCAATCTATCTATCTATCTATTGGTTTGGTTTGTTTTGTTTTACGATATATCAACCACAATGGGATATTTAATACCGACAATATTTTTATTGCTGCTAATATTTTTTATCTATCTATCTATCTATCTATCTATCTACATGTCAACCTCAATGGGTTATTTAATACCGACAAGATTTTTATTGCTGGTAATATGTTTTTATCTATCTATCTATCTATTGGTTTGGTTTGGTTTGTTTTACGGCATATCAACGACAATGGGTTATTTAATACCGACAACATTTTTATTGCTGGTAATATGTTTTTATCTATCGATCTATCTATCTATTGGTTTGGTTTGGTTTGTTTTACGACATATCAATCGCAATGGGTTATTTCATGCCGACAAGATTTTTATTGCTGCTAATATTTTTGTTTATCTATCAATCTATCTATCTATCTATTGGTTTGGTTTGGTTTGTTTTACGGCATATCAACGACAATGGGTTATTTAATACCGACAACATTTTTATTGCTGGTAATATGTTTTTATCTATCTATCTATCTATTGGTTTGGTTTGTTTTACGGCATATCAACGACAATGGGTTATTTAATACCGACAACATTTTTATTGCTGGTAATATGTTTTTATCTATCTATCTATCTATCTATTGGTTTGGTTTGGTTTGTTTTACGACATATCAATCGCAATGGGTTATTTAATGCCGACAAGATTTTTATTGTTTAATATTTTTGTTTATCTATCAATCTATCTATCTATCTATTGGTTTGGTTTGTTTTACGGCAAAACAACGACAATGGGTTATTTAATACCGACAACATTTTTATTGCTGGTAATATGTTTTTATCTATCTATCTATCTATTGGTTTGGTTTGGTTTGTTTTACGACATATCAACCACAATGGGTTATTTAATACCGACAAGATTTTTATTGCTGCTAATATTTTTTTATTTATCTATCTATCTATCTATTGGTTTGGTTTGTTTTACGACATATCAATCGCAATGGGTTATTTAATGACGACAAGATTTTTATTGCTGCTAATATTTTTGTTTATCTATCTATCTATTGTTTTGGTTTGTTTTGTTTTACGACATATCAACCACAATGGGATATTTAATACCGACAATATTTTTATTGCTGCTAATATTTTTTATCTATCTATCTACATGTCAACCCCAATGGGTTATTTAATGCCGACAAGATTTTTATTGCTGCTAATATTTTCCTTTAAAAAATTGCTGATAATATTTTTTCTTCAAAAATGTATTGCTGGTAATATTTTTTTATAATGTATTTCTGGTATTAAACCTATTTTTACAGTTTCATGGTGTATTGACCCCAGTTTTTTTTTTGGGGGGGGGGTTAGGTGGTTAACTATTTGCCCATAGTTGGGACCCTAACATGTGCTGCCATCCCGGGTCAGGGTTGACCTGAGAACACCAGAAAATAAGAGGTGGTTCCACGCTACTCAAAACTCCCGATCAGAGGCCTTACTGCTGAACGTAGTTTATCGTCATACCCAGGACGGGACTAGTGAAGGTGAAAATTAACCCTTTCACAACTATGGACACTTATTGTGTCGGACAGAATCCTTAACAGTGAAATCAGATTTTTGTAATAGAATTGAAAATGACTACCGATTGGAAGTAGAAAACCCAACTTCTAACAAAATTCAAATAATGAGGCCAGCGTCAATTTTCTTCATCTTTCGATGACATTGGACAGTTCTTCAGGGCTCATGCACTTCTACGTCACTTTACACGCGTAGAATTCGAGGATCTGAAACTAAACACAGCGTATTTCAAAAGCAAAAAAAAAACTTTGAGTAAATGACGAAAATTGCTTCCTGTTGACAACACAGGCCACACACACGAAATTCAAAATGGAACTCTACGTAGAGCTCGATACTAGAGGTGGTCATCTAAGTAGATTTTAAAAGTACGCATTTAGTGAAAGAGCTAAGTCCGTTAACTCCCATAATCAGTGTCGTTAGCTCTGTGTTACAATCACTCACACATTTGATAATGATGATGATGTTCATGATGATGATGATGATGATGATAACTAAAATGTTCTGGAGTTCTGTAATGTAACCGACGACCCCACCAAGTACAAGAACGCAAATCAATCAATGTAACGATCAACAAGAGAAAAGAATAAATAATTGAAATGTTTCTCACGTCACAAGAGGCAATGTAAGTAAAAGAGTCAAAGAGATTTGAAAAAAATATTCAGTTTGGTTTGGTTTGTTTTACGGCATACCAACGTCAATGGGTTATTTATTTCCGACAAGATTTTTATTGCTACTATTTTTTTCAAAAATGTATTGTTGGTAATAATTTCTTTCTTCAAAAAATCACCGCTGGTAATAACCTTTTACAAAAAAAAAACGTATTGCTGGAATTAGAACCTATTTTTACACCTTCATAGTATTTTAATCCCACTTTGGAGATTAACTATTCGTCCATATCTGGGAACCTAACAGGTGCCACCAGTCCAAGTCAGTGTGGACTTGGAAACACCAGCAATTAAGAGATGGTTACACGCTACTCAAAACCTCCTGATCAGAGGCCTTGCTGTTGGATGTAGTTTATCGTCTTACTCAGGACGCGGATGTAGTTTATCGTCTTACCCAGAACGCGAGTGTAGATCATCGTCTTACCTAGGACGCGGATGTAGATCATCGTCTTACCCAGGACGCGGCTGTAGTTTATCGTCTTACCCAGGACGCGGCTGTAGTTTATCGTCTTACTCAGGACGCGGATGTAGTTTATCGTGTTACCCAGGACGCGGCTGTAGTTTATCGCCTTATTCAGGACGCGGATGTAGTTTATCGTCTTACCCAGGACGCGGCTGTAGTTTATCGCCTTACTCAGGACGCAGATGAAGTTTATCGTCTTAACCAGAACGCGGGTGTGTTTCATCGTCTTACCCAGGACGCGGATGTAGTGAGAGTGTTAAACCCAGGACGGAAAAAATGTTCAGATAATAAGAATAGATCAAATGAACTGAAATATACTAAAACATATGCAAAGACCCTAAAGGTCACCCCGAATCCTGGGAAAGATAGAAATATATTTAACTAATGATTTAAAACTATACAGGTGTTAAAAATGCTTGCCGGATAACGGATTGCTGTCAACTATTGCCTTTAAGTTCTTTCTTTCTGGGAAAATATTCGCTGTTGATAATAACAGAAGTAATATTTACTGTCTTTATTTGTCTTTAACCGAAGGAATGGGAAAGAAATACCACAGATTCTTTAGTACGGTTATAGTTTTCTTTTCAAAAAGATACACTTTCGTGTTTTCTTTGCAAAAAGTACAAACAAGAAATCTTCTACTTATAATGGCGTCAGTTCATGATATCAAAGCCGTAGCAGAGTTGAGATCAAAGCCAAAACAAAGTCAAAATTCTCAAACGAAAATAAATTGTATTCCTGTGACGACATTCACGAAAGAAAATATTTAAGTTCAATTTTTAATCAGAATTTCTTTTTTATAATCGATATATCGATTAAACTATGGCAATCACGAAAGAAACTATACCAGGCAATATTTAATTTCTTAGCCACCGATAAATTCCAAATTTAATTTTGAATAGCCAATTATGCAAAATTTGATAATTCACTTTATTTTGCTTTCGTTTCGGGTTTGGTTTGGTTTAGTTTGGTGTGTTTTGTTTTACGGCATATCAACCTCAATGGATTATTTAATGCAGACGAAATTTTTATTGCTGGTAATTTTCTTTTCAAAAATGTACTGCTGGCAATAATTTTTCTTTAATATTTTATTGCTGGTAATAATTTTTTACAAAAATATATTTCTGGTATTAAAACCTATTTTTACACTTTCATAGTGTTTTGATCTCCATTTATAAGTTAACCATTTACACATAGGTGGGATCCTAACAGGTGCTACCACCCCGGGTCAGGGTGGACCTGGGAACACCATCAATTATAAAGCGGTTCCAGATCAGAGGTCTTGCTGTTGGACGTAGTTTATTGTCTTACCCAAGACATAGATGTAGTTTATCGTCATACCCAGGACGGCTTCGTTTCTGGAAACGTAAAATATAAGTTTCTAGAAAAAAAAACTTTGCACAAGTTGGGGAAGAATTAGTTGATGTGGTTATAATCTTAAGAACTTAATAATAAAGAATTTAATTACCAAAAACGGCATAATAGTCTCCAGAAGGTCTATATTTAGACAAACCAAGAAGTGTCGACGTTTATAGAGCGATCAATCAAATATGTATTTGCTAGATACTTATATTATCTGTTCAGATAAGTGAGGCTTTATTGGAGATACATTTTTCGTTTAGAAGAAAACATCATCCGAAAATCAAGTTGTTTTGTTGAGATTTAAGAGAAACGCTTCACTTGTTGCAGGTAAATCAATCGTAGGCCATCGAAATGGATTCTTTTCCATAGACAGATTTTGATGCAATAGCAGAAATCATTTCTCCAGATAAATTACGGCACAGCAGAAATCTCATTAGACTGTTTTCATTAATCATTTTACTCTTTTGGAAAACAGAGTTCTTTCTAACTTCCCATATGAGAATAATCACCATTAGCGATTCTGTAAACAAAAACAAATTAAATTCAATCATTGTCTTCTGTTTACAAATTCTTTAATAATTAAAAGCATTTCCTTATTTATGTCTTTCTACCTTCTTCATTTTACTCCACTTCATTCTTCGTATTATTATTCTTAATAGCAGTGATACCAGTAGTTGTTTAAATACTGGTTCTGATCATTACTTGTAGTATTCAGTGTTACTGAAATTGTTCTTTTAATCTGAGCGAATAACTCGGAGTTGGATTTTATTGCAGACTTACAATATTTGTTGACTTTATTCATTTTCATGAGATTTTGGCAAAATTATTTTCTGAAGAGCACGGGATCTTTACAGATCCAAGTGTCCATCTCTGGAACAAAAGAACCAAGGGAATTCAGGATATGCAAATCGTTCGAAGCAAAGTCTCAATTCCTGACTTGTTGAAAAACGGCGCTGCTCTGTTCCATTAATGGTTACGATGTTTCCACATTGCATTGGCTCGAGTTATCACGGGAAGTGAATCTCAGTGGAAAACCTGGGAAGAGACAAACAGTTCCAGTGGAGAAGAAAAAGGAATTTTAATTGCTTAGCCAACTCGGTTGACCACTGGTGCGGTGTGTAGGGGCGGGAAATTTGTCGATGAATTGTAATTACTTGTGTTGATCATTCCTCGGCATTTTCTCCTCAACTGGATTTATCTTATTTGACACGCTGAAATCGAGATTAGCGGTCAGATATCATTCAACTGGGCCTGTGAATCACACGGGAAATGTTTCTGAATATTCGTGACTAACAACGGGGACAGATGTACAGGTTGTGGGTAGGAAAGAACGTGGGGAGTAATTAATGTGTTTATTTGGACGGCGTTGGAATTGCTCGTTTTTCAACCATCTCTATTTCAGGAACACCTCGCCATGGTGTAATGGTTAGACTGGTTGACAGTTCGGAATTTACATTGCTCGGACAAATGGTTTCATTTTTGTTGCCATATTTATCACAACGTTTCGACCGCTTTACGATCCGGCCTCCTTCAGGTGGCTGGAATGTCGAACTGAACCCTTTATTTTGTTCGCTGGGGTAGACTGTTCTAGTTCCACGTGCCATGTCTAATGGATGTCAGTTATCTCTTATTAATTCACCTCTCCACTGCGTTAACCAGGTATTGAACTTACACTGTCACTGGATTTGACCAACGCCTTTATCCATTGTACCGAAACGTTGTGATCAATATGGCGACAAATATGAGGACAATAGTCCGAATAATGTAAATAGTGTACATAATACCTCATCTCAAAAATATAGACTGGTTAAGAGTTATTAGCAAGGAATAACTTCGATCTGCACTGATTGCGCCACACTTGTGGCCTTGTGCCAAACTATGCTAATCAGGACTGTCTCTGAGTCAGATTTCTTTAGAAATCAAAGGGAAAATATCGGTTCAATAAGGAAAATATCTTTCTTTTCATGATTCTTTAATAAACATTCAATATTCAAAATTGTTTAGATGTTAGAGACGAGTAAAAACAAAAAACAAAGTGTCACCTACACGAATGCAGGCGAACATATGCATATGACGCTGAAGGAATGAGTGCAAATTCTACCCACCGACGCATGGTTTTTTGTTTTCTCTCGGAAAGCAGTCTTAGATTTGACGATAAACTACATCGGACAGCTAGACCTTTCGTCGGGAGAATTGAGGTTTTGAAAAGCGTGGAAACACCTCATAATTGCGGCTGTTCCCAGGTCGACCCTAATGTTAGGACTGGTAGCACCTGTTAAGATCCCAGTCATGGGCAAAAAGTGAACCCAAAAGCAAAAACAAAACAGTATAAACGTATAAAAATACATTTTTATAGTAAAAATAGCAACAATAGATTTTTATATAAAAAGAAAATGACCACCAACGCATTTTCTCTGTAGTTGACGACATACAAATGCATTTAAAATATTTAGATTTCGGGATTAAATAACCCATAGAGGTTGATATTGTTATGATCTTCCTTAAACCAGATCTTCTGATTCATGTTACACAAATTTCCACCACTGGCCGGATGTGAATGCTCCGAAAACCAAGACTGAACTAAAAATTCAGTCAACTGCGCATCGGCTTCGCACATAGCTTCCGTTTTACTTACGCACTCAAAGAAAAATGCAATCCAGAATGTCCACACAATAGCACCCACTCCCGCTTACAGAAGCAAAATAAAAATTGGAACCGATCTGAGCCTAAGAAAAGACATAAAAGCCTATCAAAGGGGCATCTTCAGCAGTTTGATGGCAAAACAGCCAGGATTGACAAAGCGACTTCCGATTTCTAAAGACAACTCACCAAAACGACAGTAATTCACAACTCACCCTCCCTTTTCTACTGTCCGCCTCTGCGGACAACTTTTACGATTCTCCTTATCTCTTTCTTTCAACGATAGACATTTACACCAATTCACCGTTTGTTGTATTTTTACGTTAATACAATTGTTTTGTCGTTTCATCTTTGTTCTGCTACCATACGCTTAACATAACAATATGCCGCTAAACAAAATCAACCAACTCTCGGAAAGTCATTTTTTCTAACTGCTGCATTTTGACAGTTTTGGAAATAAGAATGTTTATAGAAAAAAAAAGAAGAGAAATTGGAGATGCTGCGCAATTATCTTCATTCTATCGCAATTCTTCACTGAAACACGCATCCTTTGATTGAGAGGATAATCAAAAAATAAAGACAAAAAGAAAAGAATTCACACGGGTAATATTGTAATGGAATAAATTTTGAAGCAATAAAAAAAGATTTTGACTCATTTCCTGTTTTTCGAAATTCCATAATTACTGAACGCTTAGCCTGGTTAAAAACATACGTTCTTTCATCCCCACCTCGTATAGATCGGTTAATTATATTACTGTAAAAAGAGTTTTCGGGTACCAGCTATTGTCTCTTGTCACCTACTAATTTGTGGTGAGAATTCTCATACAAAGTGGCTGACTGTTGTAACGTTGAGACAGACGAATCTGAATTTCATAAATATCTGCAATGAATATTGCCTACCGTAGAGTGAGGGTTAGTAAATTTGTTTCCTGGGTCATTAACGTTGAATTTAAATCTCGCGAGATAGTCCGTTATTGTCGCCCTGCATAAGGCACCGCAAATAATTACTTATAAAACTATATTCCATACTCTTCCCAAGCCCAAACCTAACCGTTTATTTCATAGTTCTCCCCTTATCGGCCCGATTTTTCTCATTTATTTGCTTCCTCCCTTCTTCCCCGTCTCCCCACTTTCTCTCATTAATGGTCATTCTGTTCAAACAACGAACGCAGCCTTTTTATTGCTTTTATTTCCCAGAATTTTTTTTCTTCCAATTTAAAAAGAAATAAGAAAAGAAAAAAAGACTATATGAAAATAATTATAATCAACGCCCCCTAGTGTCGCATATTATCAGAGAACTGTTCGAACGTTTTGCCATAAAGAATTCATAATTAACGTAAAGACTGAAATTTAACCCTTCCATAAATCAGTTATATTCGTTGCCAATAAATCAGTTCCATCATTCGATCCGACGCTGTCTAACCAAGATTCTTTCGAGAAATTCAAAGCGTCCAATATTTTTCCAGTGTTTCAGAAGGATTCATAGCCCTCAAAGAGTAATATGCTGATATCATTTAGTCATATCCATAGATTTTTTTTTTAATTTTCCTTTTTATTAGTTTACTCGGTTGTCTTCTGTTTTGGTTGATATGGCAAAAGAACCTGTTTTTGGATAGATTCTGAGTTCAAATTAACTATCAGAGAACTAGGTGTCTGAAATCATGCTTTTCTCATCTGTTTTCAGAGCTGAAGTATTTGAAAAAGAAGCTATCAAATAAACATTTCTAAGATAAGCAAGACCTCTTCACTTAGAAAAAAAATACCATTCCTCCTCATGTGGCTTTGTAACAGACGTAAATAAGATTAGTTAACGCCCACATTTCCGATTTTTTACGTTCATATCTTGAGGTGTTATTTTGATTTTGTTTTCTTTTTTTCTTTTTTATTTTGAGTTTGTTTCTTAGAAAACTCAATCCAACATCATCTCAGATAAATCGGCCAGGTACGTCATATGAATGACCCAACCTTCAGAAGTTGAAGGGCTATAGTGTTTCTGGTCGAAGTTTTTTGGGTTTTTTTTAATTCGATCTTGTCAGATCACATAATGAAAGTAGTTTGGAATGGCCACTCTTCCAGATCTCTTTACATTAATACAGCTGTTCCTAGGGCTGTATCTATGGATCTACTTTGTTCCTTCAACGACCTTGATGTCACCAGTTCCCGGCTCGGTATCTACGCTGATGACACAGCCATTTAACCCTGAGTTTATAATATATCTGATAGGTTCGACAGTGAAATTGATAGCTAATCTCAAAAATGACCTAAAATCTGTTAAGTAGGGCAAGTCCAAAACAAAACTGCTTTTTTTAATCATCTTAGAGACTTGGTGCAGTACTAGATTGGCAACTGGGCCCCATAATTTCATTGTTGCTAGATGTAACCGTAAGTACTAACGTTTTTCTCTCGCACTTCCCGATTGTTAAAATATCTTGTGACTTCTTGCTTTCATGTCAACTGCAATTTTAAATAAAATTTAAATACATCAATCGTCACTTTATGCCTCCTTGAAACCTGTTCTTTTATTGTCCTTTCTTTCACTCGGTAATCCTTTGCTTCTTAACGGCTTTGATCACATTACTTAGGTGGTAATAATTGAAAAGAAACTTCCATGACATTTACTCTAAGGTAGGTAACTCCTCAGTTTCGCTAAAAAAAAATATTTAGCATGAAAAAAAACTTGATGAAAAGATTTGATCGTCAAAATGTTTCTTATTAAGAGAAAAAAAAACAAAGTATTCTTGATTATTCTATTCATTTTTTTCCATCATTTTTAAAACATTATAGCTTTTAATTAAAAATCTTCTTTCCCATTACATCTACTAAACAACATAGCAAATCATGGCGTTCTTTGTTTTTTATTTTTTTTTTTTTTATTGTTTCTTTTTTTTCAGTAACAGACATTACTTTGAAAAATCTTGCAAAAATAAAGAAAATTGTCGGATTTTAATAAAACTTTCACAAACTATTCACAAATGGTTGAAATTATTTTAAATGTTTTTTTTTTTTTTAAGTCCTGGTAAAAATTTTTTTTAAATCTATTACCAACCCCATAACTAATTTTATGAAATCTCTAGAAATTCAACGCTGAACATTTTTGTGGTTATATTAGTCAGAAGAGAAGTCTTTAAAGAATTTAAATTATGCTTAAAAAAAAAAAAAATCAAACCACTTGTTACCGAAAATCATCTCTGAATTTTAACATAGAAAACCCAATAAAACAAAAACATTATTTCACGGCTGTCCTTTTCTGCGGTCCTATTTGAACATGAACATCGCAGCAATGAAAGCGGTAAGCGAGAAAGATGAAAAAAAAAGTCCAAAAGAAACGAGAATAACCGACGATTTGTTTTCAGTTGTTTGTATCTGTAAAATAAGAAGCATTTAGGTTTTGGAACTCCAATAAATGTTTTCACATTTATATCCTAAGTTAATTTTCTTAGATAATTTTTCGAACTTCTTTACAATTAATCATCCAAAACTGGGGAATATTGGAATCTCATAAAAGCGCGTAAGAAATTTTGAAATTGTTTGACTTTGCGAATGCACCCAGTTTAACAATAAGCTGCAGCGAATATGTAAAGACTCTGAAAAAATACAGACGTCAGCTAAGGTGTTCTTTCTGCAAAATAAATATCTTTATTATTTTTACTTGCTTTAAAACATTTGTTCTTATTTATCTAAATACAGCAGATAAAATTTGCTGCACGTCCCAACAAGCATAACTTAGTTTCGTTAAAAGATTATTTTCAGTTGGAAAAACTATAAAATTTAGTCACAAAAATTGAAGTCCACTCTTTGGACCCGTTTAAATTATAACTACTGAGAATTTGCCTTGTAGATGATTATCAATTTACTATTTTTCCTGACCAGGTCTTTTCAAAATGGAGGACATTGGTAACGCAGTAGAAGCCACCTGTGATTAATATTGTCAGGTGTTAATTTCTTGTCATTGTCTTTCCTTCTTTTTATCAAATATATCAGAAGTTGTAAATGCTAAACAATTCTTTCAGACTGTAACTAAATTCAAATGTTAATTATTTCATGCTTTCTTGTTAACCTACAGCTAGTCCTACAGGCACATCGCGTTGAAACGCTGGTTTTTGAATGACTTCAGCAACGTCGAGCCTGATCAATACCTAGATGGGTAACCGTTTGGAAATAGCAGGTGCTGTAAGCTTGGATGTGCGAATGGTGTTACGAATAACTGTTCTGAATTGTTAATCGGAGAACGGAGTTCGAATTCTAGTTGGGTTCCTTATATTTACTTATGTGCAAATACCCTTGAGAAAGATATGAATCCACTTCTCCTCCCCCAAGTCCTGTGTCTACTACCCCTGTAATTAGGGGACCCTCTAGCAGTGCCTGATGACCCTTTCTATCTTTTCATTTTTTTTTTTTATCTACATTTATATACGTTACAAATTAAACTAAGCACAACTGACTATTGAAAGATGAAATAGTTTCAAAGTTTGATATAATTTTGAAGTATTTTTCTTTTGTCTAAATCCGTGAATTTGTTTTGCTCATGCTAAGTCTCGAAAAATATATAAAACTAGCAGCATGGCCCGGCGTTGCCCGGGCTTGATTCAAAAATCGTACAATTCATACAGCAATCGCTATCACTTGACTTAAAATATTTTTGCCCTTCCTTGCCTTTAAAGGAATGCCCTTTGCCGTGCTGATATTGCTATATGCCTTACTTCTTGCCTATCTCACACTGCGAATTTTTTCTAAGCTCTATACTAAACATTAAATCTGTTACGAAAAAAGAACTAAACAAAATGAACACAAAACGATCAGCTTTAAAAAGGACTCGTAACTGGAAAAACCGAATGAAAAAAGGATGTTAACAACAAATACTTTTTCACACCTAACCCAGTTCTGCGGAATCAGAATCAACGTTGAGTTTAAGCAAGCGAATGAGCCAATTGGAGTAAAGTGCCATGCAGATTTAAATTTTTCCTGCTTGTTACGAATACAGCTATCGATTTATTTGCATGCTAGCATGCTAGTTAACATTCGTGTCAGTCAGCTGTTGGTTCTCACGGTTGCCAGTAGAATCTTCCTGCCTATTCGTGGCAGCCAGCTATAGGCTCTCACTCTGGCCAGTACAAAATGGCCGCAAACTACATGAAAACTGCCGTAGAAGCATGAAAAATCGATTATTTCCACTATCGATGGGAGTTGGGAAATGCAACGTCGGTCTTGGCCTTCCCTCTAACTTGGAGCATGTGCATGTAAAATTTGGTGCAAATCCGTCGAAAATTGCGGCCGTGCATCCGTTAAACACACACACACACACACATCCTGCCTTTTATAGATAGAGATTCACGAGTTTATTCATTATTTTAAATGTGTTAAATTTATTCAACTTTTAAGCAAGAAAAATCTCAAGTTCTTAAAAATTAACAAAAAAAAAAAAGAGATTTATATCAGATGGAGTGATTTATTATGATATGAATAATTTGTATTTAGAAAATTGAGATGTAGTAAAGTGGTGGAGCGTATACTAAATTCGGGGTCCACATCACATTCGGGGGGTACGAGACCCTTACTCAGCCTTGCCGCCAGCTAAGGGTTTTTTAGTAAGACTTGTACCACCAAACCATTATCTCCCCCAAAATTATTACAATCTAAAAAATATTTTCTGGCTTTAAATAACCTACAAATGGTTCATAAGCCGTAGAAAATGAATGAAGGAAACAACAGCTGGAGCCAGAGTTGTATCGAAATGTTCGCAGCTCATGAATGACGTTCGATTATCTGTTTCATCTCTTTCTATATTAGTTTATATTAAATATGTAATCCATCTCTCCATAAATCGATCTGTCTTTTGTTATTGATTTACTTAAAGAATCAAGCATCTTATATTGTCGCTCTTGAATCGCTAATAAATTTTATTTATGCATACTGATCAAAGAGTATCGATTATGTTATTGATTCCCTCCATGAATTATAAATGCAAATACATCTTGGTTGAATTTCTAACAGTATCGATTTTGCAAGTAAAAAAAAATATTTGAATGTATTACAGATCATTATCCCATATTAAATATGGTATGAGCAATAATAGAAATTAAATCGAACAACATCAAGAAATAACTCGTTATTTGACCCCCTTTGGAATTAAATATGTTTAAGGAATTCTGAATC